TGGGTTTGGAGAGCGTTGAACTAGATGTCTCGGTGCCCTCAGCTTCGTCGGGTTCTTTGGCAGCCTTCACATGCAACGTGTGGACCCAAGCCGCTGTCCCGTCAACCTCGGCTCTAGGTTCCTAGATTGATGGCGTCGGACCCAGACAGAGTCCCCAATCTTGAATGGGTGAGGCACCACTGGGCGGTTCAGTTGCTCCCGGCAGGCAGGGGTTTTTACACCGTCTTTTGCATCAGTTGGAGGGCTAGTGGCAAAAGAGGAGATATCAGAGTAAAGGAAATTTACAATTGGTGGGGGAGCCCCATACATGATCTTAAACGGGGTTAGGCCATGAGGCCCAGGAGTATTCCGGGCTCGGTAAAGGGCTAGGGGGAGTAGGAGCACCCAATCTCTAGTGCCAGTTGCAAGCGTTAATTTGGTTAAAGTCTCCTTAATGGTTTTATTTGTACGTTCTACCTGTCCTGAGCTCTGGGGGCTGTATGCACAATGAAGTTTTTAATCGATCCCCAGTAGCCTGGCCACCTCCTGACTTACCTGGGAGACAAAGGCGGGCCCATTGTCTGACCCCAATATCTGGGGCATTCCATACCTGGGAAAGATGACATCCAGGAGTTTTTTGGTTACCACGTTAGCGGTCTTTTTTCTTGGTAGGCAAGGCCTCTGTCCATCTATGATGTAAGCTTGTCGCTCAGGGCTCTATTTCGCCCCCATTTTCTTTGTTAGTTCCTGGTCCTCCAGGCTTTCATCATCCGGAGGGCCTGGGTCAGCGCGATCAGCTCTGCCTTTTGGGCCGATGTTTCAGGTGGCAGTGGTGAGGTCCAAACTATCTCCGATTCGGTGGTGACGGCCGCTCCGGCCCTCCGTTCTTCTTCTTGGAGGAAGCTGCTCCCATCCGTGAACCAGGCAGCAGGGTTGCGGGGTTGAGGGAGACAACTGGTCTGAACACCACTTGATCTGGGGGCTGCTGGACCAGAGCTTTTATCGTATGGGAGGATAACACAGTTAATGGCTGTCCCAAAGTCAGTTTCCCTGCATCCTTGAGCAAAACAGCAATGGCGGCTTCCCCGCGCAGACAGGGGGGCATCCTGCAGCTACCGGGCTTT